ACACACACACACACACACACACGCACACACTGACATACACACAGGCATACACATACACACACACACACACTGGCATAGACACATGCACATACACATGAATGCACACACACATGCACACACACAACAACAACACACACACAAACACACAAACACACACACACACACACACACACATACTTTCTCACACATGAAGGGGGATTTAGTGGTTATAGTTATTGTTGTTTTGCTTGTTGTAAAAACAGATGTACTGAATATTGGAAATAATATTGTTTTAATATGTTGCTGTTTATTGTTATTATAATATAGTTCTTGCGATTGTTATATTTGATGGTGCTAATCTTGTTGCTGCCACTGATGTGGTTTGGCTTGTACCTTGTGTTGTTTGCAACTGTTGCTTGTGGGTGGTTGGCAGGTGCTCTGGTGTGGTTTGCTCCATCGATCTTTCCTATCAAACTTCTGTCATCCTCATCTGCTCTCCACCCTCTTTTCTGTGTCTGTTTCTCTCTTGTAACAATTCTGATCTTTGGCACTTATGTGACCTTATTGTGGTGCAAGCGCTGTAAATCCCTTACCATAACGAAACAAAAATTTGGTAAAATGGAGCCCTAAACATTTTTCAATCTCGCTATTTCAGCCAAGTTCTCCTTTGTCTCGTACCGTCACCGTGGTTACCCATTTAGCCTGACCATCTACGTGGACGGCAAGATGGACTGTCGTGTGAGCACGTGCTGTGAGGCCCGGCACGCCAAAGGCGGACGCATTGGCGGCCGGCACGGACACTTCAGCATACTGCGCATCACTGGGGCTGTGCCCTGTTACAAGTGAGTGCCTGTGTATTTAGAGGAAGTAAATAATAATAGATAGCATTTGTATAGCGCAAATCCCCACTCAACAGCAAGCTCTATGCGTTTCACAATCTATACTATTACCCCAGCAGACAAGCATTCTGAAACAAACTCAACTTCCTGGGAAGCATACAGTGCAAGGAGCCATTTATAGGTGCTAAAACACTAACATACTGACAAGATCTTTCGCTGTCTATGGCCGGGTACCCATTTCCACCTGGGTGAAGTGGGGAAAATTTATGTAAAGTGCCTTTCCCAAGGACACAACGTCGTGCCCTGCTACAAGTCTGAAAGTTTATTCACTTGCTTTGCTGTCAATGAAAAAAGTACCCATCTGTCTTGAATAGAAGTTAAGATGCTTGCAATTGAAGGATGTAGGGTGTCCTGGTTTCAGTGGTAAAATTAGCGAGAAAATGGCTGCCAAAGTTTAATAATTTCAATAGCTTGAGAGTCCTTGAAAACGATGAAATTACATATTTTGTGCCTTTAACCAACGTTTTTCAGTAAAATTCACGTGAAAATGTGTTTTTATATATATGGACACGAAAGGTGTTGATGCAAAAAAGAAAAATTTGACAAAAATTGCCAAACTGGCAGAAAAGTACCTGTTTCTTTGATTCCATTATTTTGATGAACGCCTGATTTCACCATGATGGCTCATAAATTAATAACTTACCTCCCCCTCACTCGGCCACCAGGTGTCAGGTGGAGAAGGGCGTGCGTATTGGAAACCCGGCCCCTCGACCCAAGATGAAGCGGCCGCCCGCGGCACAGGAAGAGGTGGTGGTGATTGAGACCAAGCCCGACCCACCACAGAGGGAGCTGGAGGACCACAGGCATGCAGGTACGGTGGTCAGTGAATTGAGGGGGGATAGGGGGTTGGGCTCTCGTAGTCTAGTGGTAAGGCATTCGCCTCTCATTCAATAGGTCCTGGGTTCGAAACCTGACAGCCACGGGAAAACTTGTTTCTCTAAAATATTTCACCTCGTTTCCTGTTCTCTAATCATGTTCTGTTATTTACTTTGGTCTCCACTTTCTTTAAACAAAGAAAAAAATAACAACACGGGTGATGGTGGGTAAGTAGTGTCGGTATAGCAGTGGAGGTCAAGCTTTGACCACCACAGAGGGATCTGGAGGATTGAGAGCTAGCAAGTATGGTGGTCAAAGCATTGGGGGGTGGGGGACAGAGGGGGGAG